CGGGCCTTTCGAAGCTTGTGCGGCAGCTGCAGTGGAGGCCCCCTTGCGTTTTGGGGGTAGGAGGACGCATTCCCGGGTTGGAAGCCAGGTCGCTGGAAGGGGCCGCGGTGCCCGATGACGTTGCGATCGACGAGGACGTCGATGATGCAGCCTTCAGGCCTCCAGCTCAGGCAGCGAGGCCTTCTTCAGCATCTTTCCAGGTCCAGGATCCTACTCACGTCTCACCGCATCAACCCAAAGGGATGATGTGTCACGCCCATGATCCAGTCCATCTTGCGTGGTGCTTATGAAGCTCTGCTCAGATGAGTCGTTGAACCGATGCAGTCCGGGAGATCCCGAGCCCCTGGAATTCTGACTTCCAATATCTGCAATATCCATCATTCAGGATTGCAGGGTGAAGTCTGAAATAGTTGGGACAACACCTCAGGGTGTTGCGTTTGATGTCCGATTCGACTATGCTTTCAATCTTCATCAGGTTTTGAGCATGTTGGCTTTGGCGGCGATCGGAAGTCATAACACTGGGGTGGTGAGACTGCACAAGTCCACGCTTCCCCAATCGAGATTAACAGTGCATTTGCAGGCCTTGAGGCTGTACAGCGCACTCTCGCCTGCAAGACGACTCCGCGCGTAGCGACCACCTCCTCCGTGGAACAAAAAGATTTGTCATGGGTGTGGGGCAGATAGTGCCAAGAAGCGAGCCCTGGAAGATTAGGACCTGCATCCGGACAACTCGGCGGGTCTAAGCTTGCTTGTTGCCCGGTATCAGATCAGGACAATGCTCGTTGTAGCTCGCTTCCCAAAACAGCTCCGGGTTGTGTGAGGAAGCGAGACACAACTGAAGCCGGCTGAGACATGCGGAGACCGCCTGCTCGCTTCGCAGCTTCCTTTCGCCTGAGCATCCCCCGTTTCAAGATCGCACGCGCATCACTCTGCATCTCTGTGTGTTTCTTCTACCAGATGACGTGGGAACAGCTCAGAGCGACAAGATCATTCGGAAAATCTGCGGGAGTATGAGTCTTGAATGGACCACAGTGTATCGTTTCTTGTGTCCACCCTTCTCGACCCTCCCTGTAGTGCCGGAGCAACAGAGCTGATGTGAGCTCTGTGAGCTGATGCCCCATGGACGGAGATGAGCTCGAGCGTGCAGGCCTGGGAAGAGGCAGCCTGTCGAAATTGAAGCCAAGAGGTGCGAGCAGCTTCGAGCAGACAGAGAGGGAGGTGCAATAGTGCGAGGGGGGGAGGGAGGGAGAGAGAGAGAGAGAGAGACAGACGGATGAACTTTGGTGACTTTCCACTCCAAGTTTTCACACCCTTGCAAAAGCCCCGGATAGCAAGCGGGGGGGCCTAGAGCCAGAGGGCCTTAACAGCCCTCTATGCCCGAAGGAGGAAGAAGAAGACAGACCGACAGACAGACAGACAGACGACAAGGGAAGGGAGTCGGAATGTGGACCTCTTTGTGCCAACGTCTGAGCATAGCAGAGCAACAAGGAAGGATGTTTCTTTCCAAAGGCCGAAGCGCAGCTCGAGCTGGGCAAGGAGCGGGGCCGCAATGGCGATTTCGAAGGTGCCGCCCGGGCCTTCCAAGAGGCTGTCAAGCTGGAGCCAAAGCTCACCGATGCGTACGTGGGCCTGGGCGACATGCTGCGGAAGCTCGGCCGGCATGCTGAGGCCACGAAGGCCTGGGAAGAGCATCTGCGTCTCGAGCAGAACGATCCGTGGAGACTTCGCCGGGGCTTGGCCAAGATGTACATCAAGGAGCTGAGGCATCCAGAGGCCGCGGTGCCGCACCTCCACGAGGCTGCACGGCTTCGGCCCGAGGACCAGAACCTTCGGCGCATGTTGGAGCAGGCAGGAGTCCTTCTGGCACATCGAAGCGAGCTCGTAGGATATTGAGTGGATTCAGTTCTGCCCACAAAGTTCTGCACACCCGAGAAGCCCTTCGACATGCCCGAAATTTCATGTGTATATAAGTCGGACTATAGTAAAGTACTACCATCGTCTTCGGCTCCTCCATGTGTGTCGCTTTTGTCATTGTCAGCATCATTGTAGTCATTGTCGTGACCGTGATCGTTACTGGATCGCCATCGTCGTCGTCCTCCTCCTCCTCCTCCGCCAAATCCTCCTTGTTGCCCTATCGATTAAAAGAAGCATGAGAGGGAAACTGATGCTATGCTCCCAGGCGAAGCAGAAGGAGAAGACCGTGCGAGAGACGCTGGAGCGAGCCTTCTCGATGTGGCAGGAGAACGGCGAGGCGCCCATGCCGGTGGTGCGTATCTGCTTGGTAGGGCAAGGCCGTGCTGGCAAGACAACCACCCTGAGGCCGGTCAGGGTCATGATGAGGGCTTTGAGATCGTACGTAAGTACGCACGCCTAGTAGCCACAGCGGATCCCGGCTCCCTGCTTCCCAAGGAGACTGAGGGGGGAAGATGCCCGGAGTGAGGAACCTTCGACCTTTGGCATAGAGGTCTGGGCCGGACAAGTGCAAGAGCAGGTATCGCAAGGACCAGCTGGCTGGCGGCCTTGTTCTCGCGGCGCCTTCGACACGATGGCAGTGCCTGCCCTGCGAGCCGAACTTGCAGATGGGAGTTCTGCATGCCTGCCGCTTTCCAGGTCTGTGGCTCCTGATTCAGACCGGGTGACACTCGGGCCGAGATTGCTCAGCCAGGAACTTTTCGACGAGGTACGGAAGAAGGAGGCGGATGATGCAGCAATATATCCCAAGCTGCAAGTCTGGGACTTTCCTGGCCAGAAGGACCTTAGAAATGGCCAGAACTACTGGTGCTTTGATTGTTTGCATGTAAGTTCCGCTGGAGGTGGCAGCAATCGGTAAGGCAGTGCAGGGTGTTCTTTGCTTCAATCCCTGTGCTGTCGGTGCAACCCAATCTTGTCTCGCCTGTCCGAAAGGAATACGCTCAGTGCAACTTGCTGTACATGAACGGGAAGGGTGTCTACTTGATTTTCTGTGATGCCAGTTGCAGCCTCGAGGCTGGGATATGTTTCTTGTCACAAAATGCCCATGGTCCTTCAGCCTGCTGTAGCATGCTTGCAAACATGGAGTCTAAACCTTTCTGCAGCAAGTGCCATGGCTAACCAAGCTTCCAGCCGTAACCCACAACCGGGTAGCCACTGCTTCCACCGTGCAGGATGCCTGGAAGGACCTGTGGTTCTGGCTGTGGTCTATGGACCGCTTCGCGGCCGAGCCCCGACCAGGATGCCGTGGAGTTGCACCTGTTCTGCTTGTGGCCACCAAGTGGGGTCATAGACGCTTCGATGCCGCAGAGTTGGACAAGAGAGTGGAGCGCCTCCTCGGCCAGATGCCGTCGTTGCGGACGAGGCTCCTGCCCGGAGGATTCCATGGATCCAAATGGATATTCGCCGTGGAAAACTTCTCGAGGGACCCAGAGCATTACATCGCACCTTTGCGGCAGCGCATACAAGAGCTGGCCGTAGAGCTGTTGGTTGAGCCAAGCCAACCGGAGAGCTCGAGTTTGCTACACGTGGGCCTGCAATCCCGAAGGTACCCGGTGCGTTACCTGCGAGCCCATGATGCTCTTGTCGAACTTGTAAGAGGCATTGAGATGACAGTCTCAGCAAAGGAGCTTCGCCATGCCCTGGACACAGAGGGCCGTCACCTGACACGATCATTGCGGGGCAAAAGCAAGAGCGATGGCTCGCCTTTATTCTGCCCCAAAGGTGGCAAGCTTAGCAAGTGCTTGCTGCCGCAAGACCTACCAGAAAGCGAGGAAGAGGAGATTAGCGTGGAACTGCAGTGCGACATTGTCGAGCTACAGCAAGTCCAATTCATGCTGGGCGAAATGCAGCCCACTCGCCTGCCCACACGTGAAGTAGCAGAAGTACTGAGACTCTTACACGAGCTGGGTGTCCTGTGTTGGTTTGACGAATACAAGATCAGAGAGCAAGTGCTGTTGAACGTCCGGAAAGTTGCAGTGGCACTGATGCGCCTTATGAGCCTCCGATTCTGGGAAGAGTCGGGGCTGGACCATTCCGAGCAATACCGGCAAGAGCTGAAAGGCATCAACCGCTTGTCAATACGATCAATGCAAGATGTACGGCGCTTCCAAACCAGCGGAGTTGCCTCCCGCAACCTTCTTCGCCAACTTTGGCAACCAGACTTCCATGAGGGTGACATTGTGTCGCTGCTCATCGAAGTCATGGTTCGCCAGGGAATTCTGCTGCGGCGCGGCATCGAAGATGAGTATTTGGTTCCGAGCTGCCTGGCGGCTGCAGACCTTGCAGAGCCACCGGAAGGCCAGGTAAGTTTAATTCGGATGGACGGGATGGTCTCTACCAGCACTTTCCCTCAGACTGTCATGGAGTTCTGCAAGGAGCCGCCAAAGCCAACACTGAGGCAGACATTGAGGGTGGGTCCGCCTCAAGTGTTGAGAAACTGTGCTGAGCTACGGGCAGGAAGTGCTCGCGTGCACCTCTCGCTCTTTCCATCGGGCACCCCCGAACTCCTCAAGCTGCGCATCCAAGCGGTCGGAGACGAAAGCCCATCGGACCTTGACCTTGTGTGCAAACGCGTACTACACAGGTTGTTTGAGGTCTTGTGCTTCAAGCCGGAAGTGTGCATGGCCACAGTGCAGATACCACGGTGCCCTAAGCCGAAATGTGTTTTCCCGGGCTGGTGGTGCTGCACCTGCCGCCTGAACGACTTGCTTCAAGAGCGCTTCCTTCCTGATCTGAGCAAAGAGCTCAGAGAGGTCGTTGACTGCATCTCTTTAGAGCCAGGGGTACGACCAGCAGGAAGCTTCAGGTTCAAGGCCAACCCTTTCCCGGGAGACGTCGATATCGAGGAGTACCTTGTCAAAAAAGCCAAGACCAGAGATATTGCACTGGACTATTTGAAAACGCACCTCCAAAGTGTCAGCGCACGCTGCAGCGGGCACAGCCTGGTTCGCTTCAAGGGGCTGAGCGCTGGGAAGGGAAGCCAGAGATCCCACCTCAGGTGGACATCGAGTGACATGCAGCGTGGCAACATGACCCGATTGGATGGCAGCCCGATTGATCTTCGAAAAGCTTTAGAAGAAGGACATCGCACATGGACTGCCAAGCTGGACGTCTTCGCAAAGGTCAGGCTTTTCGAGGGGAGCGACTCTACGCCCAGGTTCTTCCAGGTCACCAATGTACTCCGTTTTGGTTACCTGGACGGCAGAGAGCAGGTCCAGCCAGTGACTAAAGAAAAGGACTTCCTCTTTGCCGTGGAGCACTGCATCCAGGAATACTCCGGACCTTGCCCCAATGCCATGAAGTATGCTGGGCCCTCAAGGGGTCTCATGCCTTCGTTTTCAATTCTCTTTGGCCTGTCCTCAACCCTGTAACTATAAACCCTAAAGCGTGGCATCCGCTTCCTCCGCTGTCGAGGCAAAGCGGCTCTGGGAAAGAAGCGCGTACTTGGCACAGCGAGGCTTCAATGTGGAGCAGCACGTCCTGATGCTCGAGGCCCGTGATGCTGCTGTCGGGCACCGATGCTTTTATGCTGCTTTCTTTCCTAGCTCTTCAGAGAAGCCTCTAGCCCACCCTGGCACTCCCGTCGGCGAGGCCTTCAAGCCACTCTTCGCGCACTGGCTGGCAGAGCTGACACAGATCGCCGCGCACGCAGAAACGCTTCGCAGCATGCTGGAGGAGCCACAGGTAGCAGCCTTCATTTCTCGGTAGTTGCGGTTCTGCGATGTGCGAAGATCGGCAGGAGCCGGAGTTTCAGGAGGATGCCCTGGACGACTTGGCTGTCTTGCGCTTGGGCCCCGGCTGCCCTTCCCACTGCATCGCAGCTGCGATTGGAGCTGGTTTGTTTTGACAGAGCGGCGCCACTGAGGCGCGAACTTGGCAAGCATGCAAAGAAGACTCTTGAAGTCACGCGAGCAGGGTGCGACGGCGGAGGAGCAGGCGGAGATCGAGGAAGCTCTGGAGTGTGTGCGGTTCTCCTTGGATCTGCTGGCGGAGGATTTTGCAAGAACCGACATGAGACAGAGTGCCGCGGGGCCCGCAATTACCGCCATCCGTCAGGCACGCGCCAGCAACGCGAAGCCTGCGAAGGCAAACCTAGTCCGGGTCCAGAAGCCGCCGGATGCACTAGTGAGGGTCCAGGAGTTGCTGGAGGCGTGCTCCGCAGCCGTGCTGTGGAACAAGCTCCGTTCCTTTTCCGAGCCCGTCACCAGGCCGTTGGGGCAACGCTGGAAGTTCCCTTCAGCCCATCTCCCTATCGCCATCAGCGTCACCCTCGCGGCCCAAGCCAAAACTCTTCGCCTCGCCTCCTGGTGCATTCGTCGCACTCCGCACGACGACGAAAGCCAGTCCCAGAATTTGGAGAAGATCATAGAAGTGGCGGTGGGACTTCTCAATCGGAAGAACTTGCTTTGTCTACAAGGCTGCTGGCCAGAGCTTCTCCGAAGCCTGCACGCGAAGCTCAGCGCCGGCTTTGCGCTGCTTTGCACCCGCAGCGCCGACAAGGCGTGCTTTCCGGGCCCCTATGACGATGGGGGGATGAGGGGACGGGGCTTGGATGGCCCTTTGACAGGCCCTGGTCTACGACAGCCATGTGCTGGCACCCTGCGGCGGCCCACCCGACTTCGGATGCTTCACTGATGAAGCCTCTTTTGAGGCAGCGGAGGCGGGTCTCAATCTTAGCTTCACTTTAGGAGGGATCCTAGCATCAATTCTAGAGCTTATCTTCACAACATGTCAAATCGAAGGCCACCTCCGTGGCCCGCTTCGAGCTTTGGAATGGAGATGGCGTCTTGCGCGTTGCTGTGGCGCACCTCGCCTGCGGGACAAGGGCTTGCTAAAATCGTTCCTTCTGTTGTTATAACCTTGAAATGACTGGGGTGCAAGCTTTCAGGAAAAGAGTTGTCACGTTCGATCGAGCATTAGTTCCACTGCGTTTGGTTGGGTTTCCTCATCTGAACCGGTCGGTCTGTTTCTTCAAGGTTTTTGTATTTCTTCTGGAATTCGGCCGCGATTACGTGTTTTTTCCCACATCTGAGCTGGCTTTCTCTGTCTGTATAGAGTCGCCACTTCCGCCTGTACTTAAAGCATAGAAATTGCCAGTCACACATGAAAGTGCTGGTGCACCATGCCTGTGATGTTGATATTTTGGGTATCGGTCGGGTATAGTTATGGTGCATCGAACAGGCCGCGAACAGGATGAACATGTTGGGCTCTGCTTGGGGCTTTCGATTTTGCATGCAAATCGCAGGGCCGCTCTGTTCGGTCTCTCGGCCTCTTCCGTGTCATTCGTTTTCTGTCAATACACGAGGGTGTGCAAGGATGAGCATGCGTAAACCTGCATTCACTTGGGATGCTTGCTCTGCTATGTGTGTTTCATGGGTAATCCCAAGAGAACGGCTAGGAGTTTAGAGGCGCCTCTAGGGGCAGCGGCCTCTGCTTTGTTGCATAAATTCTTTGCCCTTAGCATAAATCCTTTGCCCCAACACTCTGACCACATGAACCTGTCTCTTCTGTCTAACAGTGGTGACGATTTCAGAAAAGCACAGAGGCAGCTGAGTGCTGCGTCTTTTGGTACCTTCCGCGCGCAACGCCATGAGCTCGGCGACAGGCTGGACAGTCTCCAGGACCCAGAGCTTGGGATTAGGATAGTGATGTCTCTTCTATAGTGGTGTCTTCGACTTAGCAGTATGTGACGACACACGGGGTTCCCATCAAGAGCGAGAGCTTCGATTGAAGGAGATGGATGAAGTTCCCACGCTGCTCCTGGGGAACCTTGGCTTTCCTGAAGAGGCCATTTGTTCGTCAGTAGCACTCCTGCTCCGCCGCAGATGCTGCTTGTTTCGACATGCATATCTATTGACAGGCAATAAAAGCGTGGCTCCAGCTCCAGCAGCTCCGGGAGGTCCACTTCGCCAGAGTGCCCTATCCGACAGCGGTCTGCGAGGCACACCTGCGGCCCATAGACTGAACGCGGTTTCCACGCTGATGTACCTGCCGAATCAGGGCTCGTTGCTGCCATGGCGCACCGACTGCATCGCTTCGCTCTCCCCCCCCAGTTTGCTCAAGGCCACAAGAACTCTTCTGTAAGTTCACGAAATTCCAGTCTAGCCCTGGCAGGTCGCAGCACTAAAGGCAGAGCTTGTCCGCAGTGACCTGCGGGAGTGTGCTGGCCTGCTGAAATCGAGGCGGGGGCCCCCGCCTCCCCTGCCTTCAGCTCGTTTTTGAGCCTCGAAAGCTCTGCAGACTGCCAGGTCTCTGGGCTTGGCGGACGCCGACGACGAGGCACCAGACCTCGTCTTGGCAAAGTGCTCAGAGCTCCGACTGCTTTAGCCTCTTTTGGCGAAGCGACGCATGTGCAGGATCGGATCCGGGAGCTGCAGTGGCGGCAGGAGCCCTAGCAAGGGTGTATGCGTGGTGTTGCGCGGTCTGGGAATTGCCAAGGCCACCACAAATCGCGGCAGTTGGCCGTCGTGTCATAGATGGCCTTCGCTTTGGTCAAGCAGCCCGTTCCAAGGCGGCCCATCCAGGACCATAGCCGCAGGCGTCTTGCAAGCCAGCCTGTCGTTTCATTCATGAGAAGGGAAATGCAGTTCGAAAGGCCTGCATCCTCAATCAACTCTTTGAGTGCAGATCCCTCCAGTACCCTGGAAGTAATGTTGCTTCCCTGTTCGACACGTGGATTGCAAGACGTTGCCAGAACATGTGCGGCCAAAGCCCACAAGTGGCTTGCCTTGTCAACTTCACTCTACTCGTCGGACTCCTTTCGTTTCCACGCTTAAAGCGAGTTGAGACCATCCCGAAGGATAGCAGAGCTCGAGAAATGTGCGAGAGGCCTGCCGGTGCACGGAGGCGTGCAAAATGTACCGCCAAAGATGCGGTGTACCTGTACGTGCGATGGCAGATCCCCAGTCAAGCTGCTTGGAGGCCTTGAGGCTGTACAGCCGCCTCTCGCCTTCAGGAGACGAATGGCCTCCCAAACTGACGACCGTAACGAATCACTGCCTCCGTGCAAAAGAGAATCAGACCTTGCATCGCTGTGGGACGCGACCATCCCAACCAGAGGGCTCCGTTGGTGAGCAGGGCAAAGCTGTGGCATCCCGGAAGCTTCGGACCTTCATCATCGTTTTGGGTTCAGGGCTTATGGTTCGAAGTCTGGGTCTGTGCCTATTTCTTCGACCGCAAGGTCCCTCTGCGCACTGAAGCTCACGGAAGCCTGATGAGAGCGAACTGCACCCGGGCCGGGCCACGGTGCAAGCTGGGCTTTGGACTTTGGGAATTCTGTGAGCGAACTGCGCTCTTGAAGAGCAGGTGTGAGACCATTGATTAAGCACAGGATAAACAGCATCCCCTCCCGAGACTGATGCATGGCCCCATTTGCTAAAGCCTTGAACACTGAAGTCCGCATCAGACGGCCCTAAGTGACATTCTCTTGAATTCGCTGCAACCCCCAACTGAAGCCCTCAACTGACGCCAGCACCCCTTTTTTGTGGGCCTACGTAAGCACAGCTGCAGGCAGCGCATCTGGCATCCATGGCAGACCACAGAGCGGACTGGAGTTCCTGCTGGCTGCTCAGACCTGGAATGCATGGGCTGGGGTTGAGCGATGGGCGCTGCGAGAGGGCCCATCGCCCGAGATCAGGATCCTTCAAAATACAACCTGCATTAACATCGAAATGTAGACGACAGGACTGGGAACATTACAGATACTGATCACGACTGTTCCCCCGCCAGGAACTGAGGGGGCCCTGTGCGCGGAGCCTGAACTCTGAGCAAAAGGCGTTCATACAATGCACTGTAACTCGTCGAAGATGTCATTTCATACCGTTTCAAGCACTGCGTTGTGTTGACCGTGTCGGTTGGCCTTCCGAGTAGATTGTCCACGATTCTCGCTGTGTGGGGCTTGCATCATATGCGTCCAGGTGCGACGAGATTCCAGCTCACGTTTTGTAGCTTTCGCAGCAGGCTGAGAAGACAAGTGTTAAGCTCCGGTCCAGACATGTGTGGCAACGAATGTGCTCCAGAGCCACTGGTGCTGTGCTTGAACAGCGACAGCTTTATCTGCAAGGGGGGTCAACGTGAGTATACACATGTGTTGCTTGCATGCCTGTCTTGGACGATGCTGCGGCCATGACGGCTGAAATGCTGGCTGTCTAAGGCAGCCCTTGTATGCCTTTAATGCTATGGGATGGCTTGACTGTCTACGTGCTGCAAAGTCAGCGGGGGGCTGAGATGACGGGCTGTGTGTTCAAACCTGGGATGTTCATATTCGCAAATCTTACTCTCACGTGGCACACATCCGCTGCAAGTCTTAGTCTCAGTTTCGATGACTCTGCCGTTGCAGTCTGTTGGAAGGCGGCTCCCATGCAGCGTGCAGCGGCTCATGACGGAGAGTTCTTGGCAGAGAAGCTCGCGACTTGCCGTTTCATGTGGATCCAGAGCTCAGGAGACTGTTGGATCACCTTAGGCAACGTTCTTAAGGCTTAAGCTGAGGTGAAGCAGCTGCTGGGCCTCGGATCGAACCCAAGAGTCGACGCAGCCCTGGTCCGGGACCTGCGGCCCTTCTTGCAAGGCTTGCCGGTCCATCTCGCCGAAACTGCGGCGCTCATCGAGACCAGGCAGCGGCAATTTGCAGCTTGAGGGGCTGGATTTGTTCATCCCATCTTCCATCCATGCAGAATTCAGCTTGAAGCTCATGCAGGGTATGCTAGCACTTGCGACCCTTCAAAGGCCGCCGCAGGAGAGCGCCCGAGAGAGCCTGTCGCAGCTGAGCGGAAGCCTCAGAGACGACAAGTCCAGAGTAGCAAGTCCGCAGATACTGTGAAAGGCAATGCACTTCAGCGGGCGTTGTGTGCAAATTCCTTTAAAAGCTTGAGCTCTCGAGTTATAAGGCGAAGATCTGCAGAGTCTCCAGGCAAAGCTGGGCGAGGCCGCGAAGGCCCCGGAGGACGCGGAGGCGGCGGCGGCGCGTAGCTGCCTGGAGGAGCTCCAGAGCCGTCTGGAAGCGATCTCAGAGGCCTCGGATGACGATGCCCTGGCGATGCTCACAGAGGCGAAGGAGCTCTTGGAGGGTTCTGCTTCCCTGATGCTGGTGAACCGGATGGGGAGCTTCGAGCACTTCGAGTCCTCGCTTTCCGAGCCCCTCCACGAACTTTGGGATTTTGCCTCGGACCACCCGCCCGTCGGGGCGAGAATCGTGCTGAAAGGCAGCGGCTTTGGAGCCCTGAATGTGGCCTCCTTCAATGTTCTAAATATGCACTACATGAAGTATATCGACAACGACTGGCAGGGCCTGAAAGGCTCGAAGATGCAGCAAAGCCCGGCGGAGCAACGGGCCGAGGAACTCGTGTCCGTGATCCTCAGAATCCTCCACCACCCAAGCCATCCCAAGGCCGTCCTCTGCCTCCAGGAGAGCCGCGCTTTGTTGCTTTGGGCGCTCTTCTTGAGGTTTACTTTCCGGTTTGTTCTAAACACTAAACCCTTAGACCACGATCAACGACAGCCCTGGAGCTGAGTCTCAAGAATAGAAAACCCCTACCCCCGACGCAGAATTCCTAAGCTTGTCAAGGGATTTGGGGGTTTAGGGTTTGGGGGAGGAGTTCTTCTTGTTCTTCTTCTTGTTGTTGTTTTTGTTGCTGCTACTGCTTATATCAGGAATGCGGTTACTATACCCTTGCTGTTGCTGTCGTTATTGCTATTCTTATCCTTGCTCGTTGTGTTTCAGCACCATTCGTATCATTACTCATCTTGTTCTTGTCATCCTCGACTGTCCTTTTCTATTGCATATCAATCTTACGACTCTGATGTCTATTGCTTCTAGCAGCATGCCCTAAACACCACACCCTAGACCCTAAACCCTAAGCTCTAAACCCCAAACCCTCAACCTCAAACCCAAAACCCTAAACTGACCCCAAACCCTAAACCCTAAACTCAAAGTGCTTCGAAGAGGAGTGCTGGTCGGAGTTCCTGAATCTCTTGGAGGCGAAGCTCGGCGCCCAGGGCTGCCGCATACGGTGCACTGGAGACCGGAGCCAAAAGAACCAGGAGGTGGGGTTTAGGGCTTAGAGGCGTCTTTCGGGAAAACGGTGTTGTTGGTTTATGGTTTGGGGGTTTAGGGTCTGCCCTCGAGCTTCGCTGCCGGCATACACAGAAAAGGGGTTTAGGGTTTTTTGGGGTTTAGGGGAGGAGGGGAGGAGGAGGGTGCCGGTCTGCCCGAGCTTTGCCTTCCAGGCGATCGTCTACAACTCTGCCTACGTGGAGTTAGTCGACTTCCACTGCCTCCAGGAGCCATACTCATCTGACCTGAAGAAGGCCAAAGCTCAAACACTTACACCCATGATTCCTTAATTAGCCTTCCTTACCACGTTTCTCGTATGCGATGCCCCCCAAAATCGTGGGTTCCACCTGTGAAGGTCAGCTCGGGTGGGTTTCGGATAGGGCTGAATTCCGAACTGCAGGATCCTACATATAAGGTTTAGGGTTTAGGAAGGACCCCTACATAAGGTACCCACGAGCCAGGGTATGCCTGAATGATGAGAAGCCTTCGGATGGTTGGTTTCGAGTTCGAAATCATATCCAATGAGTCGAGTGCTAAACCCCGTACTTTTTAAGCCCTCAGCACTAACAGCTTAAAGCCTACACCCTAAACCCCAGACCCCAAAAGACCCGCAGCATTAAAGCCAGAAAGCCCTCGTGCAGGTCATAGCGGTGGCGTGCTTCAAGCTGCAGGGCGGCGGCGAGGCTTCGAACGGGCAGCTGCGGATAGTCACCACGCGCCTGGGCACATCTTAGCAGCCATGGCAGGTAGAGTTGCAATGCTTACTCAGTCATAAGATCTCCTCAATGCATCCATGGAGCTAAGCTAGACTGCGACTTGGTGGGAAGCCGGCGTCACAGCGCCACTCTGAGGCACCTACCCGGGACGCCCTACAGCCCTGCTTGTCGGGACTTCAGCGATGCCCTGAGCTCGGAGATCAAGGCGGACTGCGGAAAGATCCCGACCCTCCTCATGGGCGACCTCAACTTCCCTCTGGAGGTGCTGTTGAAACGGCAGGTAATACAAGGACCTTAATAATCAATTAGAAATAGGGGTTGGGGGTAGATTGTACTATAATTGTAATACGGAGCCACTGAAACCCTATTCTATTCTAATAGGCCCCTACATTAGCTTGGGGTAGGCTCCCTGTCGTGTTGGGCCTTGCAGGGTTCAGGGGCTTTGAAGAAGCAACGTGCGTCTCCCTCCGCTGTCGAGGTGCTCAGACCGCTTCTGAAGCATTTCGGGCGGCTGAGGGACGTGCATTTCGCTGCGATTCCTTATCCAACCAATGTCTCGCAGGCTCTTTGAACCCTATGACCAACCCTTAAACCCTAGACCCTTAAGCCCTGAACCCCGAAACCTTGAACCCTATTCTTACAGTTCAGGGTTCAGGCCCAAAGTGCAAATCATGAACCCCTAAACGCTCAAGCCCGGATCGAGGGGTCGGAATAAGTCGTCGAAGGATCCCTAAACCTAGACCCTAAACCCCTTTTAGGCTCCCGCATGCCTATGCCATTATATACACCAAAACCCTATTCTGACTAGAGGTGTTTCTGTTGCAGAAACTCTGCCTTCTATATCCCTTTAACGAGCCCTCTTTACACGAACTCTGTTCTGGTTGCTAAGACCCCTTGAAACCCTAAACTGAACCCCGCTCACCTTTTACTATCAATTTTTTGGAGAATTTTGAAATTAAACCCTAAATCTTAAACGCTAAAACCCCTAAACTCTAAACCCTCGTATTACAGGACAAGGTTGGTTCAACAAAAAAGCCAAAAAATCAAATCCCTTGGAGGCATCGCTCATTCCGAAGAGGATTGACTGTATTGCATCTTTATCTCCCAGCGACGTGCTGGAGGCGCCCGATCTTTGCGTTTTTAGAGCCTTAGGATTTTTGGATGGTTTTGGGTTTAGGGTTTTTTAGGGCGTAGGGTCTTCTTCACAAGGGCAGCCCTTTCAACCGAAAGCCCAGATAGGTTGCAGCGCTGGGAGCGGATGAGGTCCTGCATGGGCTTCAACCGCAAGTGGACCTGCTACGGTTCAGGTCGGCAGCTCTGCTCTCAGTGTCAGCGCATGATGGCGTTGTATACGTAATCAGAGTTAAGCCAACCTCTCCAATGTGTTAAACCCTTATCCTAAACCCAAGACTCAACGTCTCCGCCCTGTGAGATGCCTCGAGCTGCGGCGCCAAGTCGGCCGGGTTACGCCACCGGCTTCCTAGGGTGCATGAACGAGCTCCTCAGAGACGGTTTAGGAAACTCTAGAACCCAAACCCTAATCCCTGAATCCTAACCCTAACCCTGAACCCAAAGCCTAAACTCCAAAACCCAAGCCCTCAACCCTGAACCTAACCCTAAACCCTAAAACCCAAGCCCTCAACCCTGAACCCTAACCCTAAACCCTAAAACCCCAGACCTGAGGACCCTAGGAGCCCGTCTGGAAGGGAGTTGCCGAGTACTCCGAGGTCACTTGCTGGCAGCTGCGTGTTTGCTCCTGACGTGTCGGGACCGCAGAGCTGCGAAGAACAAAACCAGCCAGGCCGGAGAAGCGCGCTTTAGGGTTGCGGTGTTCAGGGTTTAGAGTTTGGGGATGTTTGGAGCGGAGTATGCCAGTATGCATCAAGTGAACCTAGACGCCGGAGCAGATCTGATTGCAGGTGGCATCTGCTGCAGGGTGAGGTTGCCTATGCTTGGCTGCTGGCTTGAATATGCCTCACCCTTACAGGATACCACGCTTCCGGCTGGCTTTGCCGGCTGCGATGCCGTGTGCTAATGAATGGAAAATGCTGCCGTGGAGGCAAAAGCCACCACACCAGCCATTTGGGGGGTTCGCGAGGATGGTAGCGGGTTAGGCAAATTACTGAGAGCCTGACAGTGGAAGCGGTAAAGGTACTACCTGCCTATATACACTCCGCGAGCTTACCTGCGAGATAGGTCTCGCCCAAGGCGACCGCGCAAGAGAATCACAAAGCTTGATGGGTTTCGGGCTGAGAGGTTCACAGGTCAGATATCACTTCAGTATTGAAATACTCTTGAACCCGATGGTAAGCCTTATTGAGCTGCATGGACCCTTAGGGTCTGAGATCTTGGTCATTGGTCGCGCAGTTCAACCTTCGATATGGAAAATGAGAGCTGAGGACGTCTGATGTGTGGCACTGACACCTGTAAACCCAAGCCAGCCTCCCTTCCCTCAGTCGTGCATCGCTGTCCTTTTGCTGCATGTCTGTGCAAGGTTTTTGTGAAATCTGGTCTGAAGCGTCCGTCTGAGCCCGCCTGTAGTATCAAACTAAGAAATATTATAGGAGCCGCTGCTTTGTTTTAAGGCTTGCTGGGCTAATATTACTATTCCGAAGCGGTGCTCCTATCGCATTTCATAATGTTTAGTATTGGCAAAGAATTCTCGATCTCGTTCGACTATCGCTAGTTTCAGGAGTTAGACAAGCTGCAAGATTAAAAAGTACAATAAAGTGGTAGTAAGAATAACAGTATCAATATTAGTAGTAACAGTAGTGGTAATCGTAATATTATTAGTCTGGGTCTTGGTCGTAGTCGTGGTCGTCGAAATGGTAATAAGTAGCAATGGTGGTACATGGGTCGTGGATTTATATGGTCGATTCCAATAGACATCTCGTTTCGATCCGATTGTATTCTAGGTTCCACATGGTATTGATTCTCTATCGTGCCGTGGGAAAGACTTGCCTATATCAAATTGTTAATATTCTTTTCCGATGAAATATCTGTGAGAGAATCATCTACAATGTTGCAGCCGGCTCCTTTTTTCTGGAGTTGCTTGTATCCCCACCGTATCCTCGTTGGAGTTGAGCCAGCAGCACGGTCCAGAAAACCTCCCACAACCCAAAGACAGGTTCACGATACTTGGCTGGCTGCTTGGAATGCTACACGTGGACATGCAAGTGCGTATCTCGAACAGCACTGCCGCTTGCTTCTTGAAGTTTTGGCTCCTGAGCGGAGCCTGTAAAGCCGCAACTCCTTAGCATACCACCTCGCTCCTCAGATAAGGCTACCTGCACCCGAAAAGTACACATACATATAACACTGAGCTCTCAGACCCATGATGGCCGGCGAATTCATACCTGTGGGGTCCGGCATGGCGCCTTCGACCCAGGTGGAAGGTTTGGAGAGCAACGTCAAGGGCCTTGAAAGGGACCCCGAGAATGCATGTTCCTATGTTGCGAAAGCCCCATAACGCCTGTCGAAGCTTTGCAGGGTCTAAGGTTCAGGAACCCCCCTTTCCTTCGTGCTGGGATTCTGCATTGAAACTCTCGGAAACCCATGTCTCCCAATCCAGCCTGGACCCGAAATTCTGTGCCAAGGCCAGGCTTTGCAGACAACTTGGCCTGGTATCGTTGAAAATGCCGTGGAAAAAGTCCCAATTCTAGGTAGGCCTACTGCCACCGTAGAATTGTGCGTTGCATGGTATCATGGCACCTTTGACTTGAGTAGCAGATGGTTGTGTCCTTTGCTGGAGCGATGCACACAGGTGGAGAATGCTTCGCCATTCATTGCATATTGCCGACGGATCCGCAGCATTTGCGTCGCGTCCGCGTCCCAAGAACCTTCCGCCTTTCGCCTAGTCTGCCAGAGAGCCATGACTAGCGCGGACTTTGATGTGATTACGAACGACGGACAGTGCCTCAGTGCAGAAGCTTGGTCTCTTTTCAGTCGGGAGATCTTTTCTTGTGTATTCGTTGCTTCTACTTGTGGTGACTTGAGACACTTGAGGGTTGTAAGCAGCACCGCCTGTTTTATGGTGCGGCAAAACTGTCGGAAAACACTGCAAGTTGATCATAACCCCTAAAATGCCGTTTCAAGACCTCAACCGCACAAACAAAAAGCCTGCAAAACTCTACACACCCTTCACAACTCCACATCCTTACAACTCCATAAAGTTTTCAAGTCCCCACAAATCCCGAAGATTCCAGGCTATTCTGGACCGGTCTGGCTCAATGGGCGGGGAGAAGATCTGCCTGCTGAAGCAAACCATGACTCTTTCGGTGTACAAATTTGGAATTGCTTCAGGGGCTGTATACGATGTTGCACACGTGCTTTCTAAGGCTCTTGTGGGCTCAAGTTGGAGGAGTTTTCTGATCGTTTAGGAATACGGCGCGGGCTTGGCACTGAAGGGAGGTTAAAGGCAGAGACCTATTTTCCTCTCCAACCTTAAAACCACAATTGGATCCCAAGCCCGAACTGCAACCTGCAATCATTCTAAGCCCTTTAACAACCTTACAGCAATTGATCTAAGCCTTACGGGTTAGAAACGTACACACACACACACACACATGCGCGCACGCACACGCGCACGCACGCACGCACGCACGCACGCACGCACGCACGCACGCACGCGCACGCGCACGCACACGCACACGCACACACACACACACACACACACACC